GAAAAATTACACTTTTTCTGCATTACTTTAGTTTGAAATGTTACAAGAACTAAAATGTAAAGAAATATCGTCATTGTTTTCCAAATTTAGCAGACTTTTTGTACTTCTTACAGAAATATCATTTAATCATTGATTTTAAAATAAACTTTGGGTAAAGGGAATCTTGCACTTATAAACTGAAGCTAGAAATTCTTACACCAATTAAAATAATCCTATTTTATGCAAAATTATATGTAATTGGTAATTGAAAAATGCTTCAAGTTATCTAGATCTTAATGCCTTCTTCTATTTTTGTTACCTCAAACAGTTTGGTTTAAATTATAGCAAGTTTCAAATTATCCTTAATTTAAGAACATTTTTATGTTACTTAAAATCTCATGGCAAACTTTATGTTGCCTAAAATACATTTGTAACTTAGATCTGAATCTGTATATTTCAAGTGACTTAAGAAAATTTTAGTTTATAATTCACCTTAAAAGCAATTCCTAAACTTCTTTAACACGACCTTTAGCTGCAACTAATTTCCTCTCTTGTTCCTGACCGAACATTTTATCTTCTATTGAAGATTCAAATTTGCAAGTCAAAGTGAAAGTTTCATCTCAAAATATGACATAAAATCTTTTGCTGTTTGTTTTAGAACGCTACTTTCATATTCACGGAGCGCGACCACTTCAGGACGATTGTAAAATATGCAGGACGACGTCAATTTACTTCTGTTCCTTCTTTTCCACTTGGAATGGCAGAAATGTTATAATACTTTCTTCATCATAGTTCATAAAGTTGCACGAATTCCGCATTATTAAAATACATTTGAGGTGATTTCTAGCGAACAAACGCGGAAAGTATTCTAAAAGAATCGTTAATGCCCCAGGATGGAGAAGACGTCATAAAATATTCCTTCTCGAGAAATCCTGAATGGAAACAAGCCCAGCCTTTTTATGTTTTAAAAGTCAGTGTAGTGTAGTCCTATTTTTGAAACGTTTCTCGTGCAGTTGTTTCAGTTTCTTTTCAGAGTGTTTCAGTGTAACTTTATGAAATTTCTGGCATTTCAGCTTAAAATGAATAAAAGCGTAAAATGCAACGTAAAAATTGAAAAGGTGATTGATTGTACTTTTACACTACTTAGCCAAAGGAATAATAAAGATTTAATCCAATTACATTTTCAAAGCTTCTTTTTTTTTTTTTTTTTTTTTTGACATATGAAATAGTTTCTAAGTAACTAAGCTGATAGACATTAAAATCTAAATTTAAAGATGGAATCACTTCTTTATTTATAGTTTTAAACTATGAAATTCTAAATGTATGAAAACGGAGGCCAGTATCATTTTTAGCGTATAAATTGAGTCTGAGAAGTGACTGAAACTATGAAATGATTAAAATAATAACTGAAAATTTTCAAATTTAAAAAAAAATCTGAAAGCTTTCAGATTTTATATTACGCCCAAAGGGTAGTTTTTTAAACGTTTTGTATGTTACCTTTATTTATAAATATCATGTTTTTCGCACTTGAACCACAAAATTCAAATCAGCAGCAACATCACAAAATATTTAAAAACAGTATATTTTTAGAATATCCGATACACAGTCTCGCGCGTTTGTTTGCTTGTTGTAATACAAATGTTTGTTTTCCCGTATTATGTTGTCATTGCTCGCTTTGAAATTGTTGAGTTTGTTAATCAAAAATTCGTTAAAGTTTGACGAAATCCGAAGTAGATAATAAAACAAATTCCACATTTGGGCCTCTAGATGCTCATATTCGAGTGGAAGTGCCGTTGTGTTTTCACATTTCAAGAAACAGACATACATTCATGCAGATTCTTCACTATCTGTGAACGGGAATTCAACAGAAGGTTTGAACATTCATCTGTATTCTATGAGAAAGAGGCCCATAAACACGTTGTTCCTTACATTAAGGGTTTAAACAGGCAAAGAAAATTTTGTAAAGAAAGGAAAAATTGTATGTAAATTCAGAAAAAAGTGTTTAAGGCTCTACGTGCTTGGATTTTATTACAAAACGGACCTTACTTTAAAAATAACTATCATGTTCTTTTCCATTGACTATGCTGAATGATATCCCAAGTTGTCACCTTGTGACTGGATAGTAGTTTCGATCAAAATGAGCGATGAGTCTATAAAATCTCAAATCTTCATTGGATTAGAACTTTCTTAATTGGTTAATGATATAACAAGATTGTACATAGACATCTGCTTTTTTCAAATAGAGAAAGTTTTAACAGTTATGACTTTTAGAAGTGTAACTAGAGTTTATTCATAAATATTTTGTTTTCTTACTTATATATCTATTGTTACTTGATTAACGCAGAGTCTTAGTTCTTTGATGGCGAGCTTTAAGCATCCGTTTAAAAAAGATTAAAAATTTGTACAGACTAATTAAGATTCTCTCATCTCACGCTGCTAGACGAAAATCTCATTGTATTACAATATAAGGCGCTCACTGCACCATACCATGGTACAAAGATATAGCCTCTATGTCACACATTATCTATAGTCATAGCTACTACACGTTTTTACCATGTTATTGTCTCTCATTAAATCAGACGTGGATTTCACTATGATGTCTGTCTGTGATAAGTACAATTGGAAGATGGTGCGACGCTAAAATTTCACCATTGATCGAATGGGTATAACAGTATAACGCTGACATATTCAGTCCCGTCCCACGAACGAGAACACCTGCAAAACTTCGCCTGATGCAGTGACAGACCAGCCAAAATTGCAACCTCTTATTCTATGTAGCGACAATCTCATGGTATCAGACATTCGCTTTTATCGCTTCACTCCTCAATATGTCAACCCAGAATATTATTCTATCACACATCAGAAGGCTATAATGGTGAAACCAGGCTTAATGCAGGGACAGAATAGTCAAAAATCACTGGTTACTCCATCAGGTTAAGATCTCTGTATATAACCCTTTCAAACTAATCACTATATCAATATAACTCACTGTATCACTTTTATAACTTCTCAATATACTAGACAAGAATCTCACGGTATCAGAGGCGTGCGGTGATGAAACATTGTCTGATGAAGTGAAACGTTAGCCAGAATAACAACTCCCTTCTATGCCACCTGAGGCTTTTAGAATTTCATTACATCGCAGTATCACTATATTACTGTCACTACTCCTGATTGTATCAAGCAGGGTTTGACCGTATCCAGCCTAGTCTGAATGGTCTGTACTGTAGACATTTATGACGGCGAAAGTTGAAAAATCTTTAAAATACTCAGTGTCAAATATAAACAAAGGGATTTTAATCTGATTTTAATCTTAAAAAGGCAAAGAAACATAATGTGCATCGGTTTTCTCGAAGAGATATCGCCGAATGCAGAAAACGCTGCAGAATTCTTTATGAGAAAAATTTATTCGGACAAAAATGGAAAAGTGTTGTCACAATAAAGGAATCTTGGGTGTGATTAAATGACTGCAATAAAAAGGAGATGCATTTATTATCATCAAAGAGAAGGGAAAAATCTTAAAACATGGTTCAAGGAATCTAAAGAACGTTTTTCCAGGGGATTAATGATTATTGCTTGCTTTTCATATAACGGCAAATTAAAAATAAAGAGAGTAGATAAAATTGTTAAAACCAACTCCACATATTATCGAAACCATATTTTATACCCAATTTACAAATATGAAATACTATCTTTTTACACGCAGTGTGATCAATCAGTAGGACTTCATGGAGACAAAACAAACAGCAACACGTCAAAATCTACGGTTAATTTCCTGGAAAAAGTAGAGTACGAAACGGGTATCAAGACTATTTCACTCATATACATACTAAATCTCCTGATCTATCATTAATACATTTTTGCGCTTTTGAGCTTTTAAAAAGCGAGTTGTCTAACGGTGACCTATAACCTCGTTAGACACTAGAAAGCTGTTCGAGAGCAATGGGAAAAATACCTCTTTCGATACTATCATCTTTGAAATTACGGCTTTATCATCTTTGAAATTACGGTGTATAATGGTAGTGAAGAATAGCGGTTATCAAATAGAAAATTTAAAACATATGTAAAATATTTCTGCAATTACAATGAAAATCGTCTAAAAAAATGTGCGAACAGCCTGTAGTATAGATCAAGATATACCGAACGCAAAGCAAGTGAAGTTTCCTATATTTGGTTTGGTTAATCTTGGGTCGCCTTATGCAATATCTCCATACAATTTATCTGGTCAAAAATCAAATTGAAATTTCTGTAATTGTGTAAATGCATAAATGGCTTACAAAAAACCTACTAATTTAGATTTTAAGTAAAATTAAATATTTTATTATGTTGGTTTACAAAAGATCATTATGCATATTGAGGCAAACTGACAAAGACATTTCTTCACCAAGAAGCCCAGAATATACCGTGATTGCATTCTTGAACCTGTTCCTTGACAAAAAAGGGTCTTTTTACAGCCTCTTTTGCAATCTGTCCTATTGATCTGTACAAGATTTTGAATAAGATAACGTTAATCTAAACTTAAAGTTTGTGAATTTTAAATGTTAATTTTTTTTTCCAAAAAAGAGATAAAATAACATTTAAATAATCTCAAATGACATTTCAAACTTTGTGAAACAAAATTTCAGTATATGTAGTCCATCAGTTTGAACTGAAAACAAGCAACAAAACGTTAGATGTTATTCTCACTGAAATCCATTTGTTTAATTTTTTAGCAGCTTTATTTTTCTTTTCTAGATCCGTCAAAGAGTCAATTAAACAAATTATTTTAAAAGGTAGTAATTATTTCTTTTCATATGGGCTACCTTTCCCAAATTTATCTCCTGAGCCTAGAGGGAATTTTTTCTTCCTTTTTTTATGTCAGACAATTTTATTCAGCTCGTGGCTTTTTAACAAGGTTTCTTAATTAAATTTTTCCGGCAGATGTCGTTGCTGCCACTCACTACTTTGACTGCGTAGTAATTCTGTGAATTGGCTCAAGCCCAGCAGGCAAAACCATGTTCTTCTTCAAAACTATTTTTAAAGTAAAATTGTAGCGTAAGTGTGAAAGGAAAAAATTCGAAGGAGAAGTATGAAAGGTGTCACCATGGAAGAATGGAAAAGATATGAAAAATTGCGAAGGTGAGGAATTTCATTAGAATCTTGATTAATATTGAGAAACTACAGTATTACTTTACATGTAACATTCAGATATTTCTTACCATAGCGACGTGAAAGTTTTAAATAATATATAAATTTCATCGTAATAAAAATATAGTGACAAAAAAAAAAGATAATGCCGCATAGGAATTTTGTATCAGTTATATGTGGTACAAAGGATAATAAAGTTTACAGGCTCTATTGTGTTCTTTATTATAGCAAAATATTTACAGGCTGTCAATCCTTAGGTAGAATGCCCTTCACAGGGATTTATGGAAGGAAACTCATGACAGGATTTTTGGCGAAAAAATGAGGGCGAAAATTAGCAGTTTCAGAGTTTTTAATTAATATCTCTACTTTTAGCTTTTTTTTAATAGTCGACGTCGATCTTTTTCAGGACACAGAAAAAAGTTGTAGAAAGTCTGTTGACGATAGCTATAGGAGTGACTGACTTAATCGCGAACAAACAAATACACAAAGAGACATTCTTCTTTATTATATAAAGACTGGGTGCAATACGACTAACGGACTGACTACACCAAACCAGCAAATAATGTATATAATTGAAGAAAAGCTCTTTTTGTCAGAAGCATTTTGTTTTCACTTCTTTTAGCTCTCTTTTATACTTTATTCATAAGCTTAGGAGGAAAAGCAGTTGATATTTTCCATGGTTTCATTTGTAATCCCCAAAATAGAAGTGAAATGGCATTCAGAAAAGAGCACTCTTTTGCCGATTTTATGACATAGGGCATTCTTTACAATAACTTCAAAAATTAAACCGAATTTTATGCATGCAAATATCACTATTTCCTTGCGCCCGAGTTTATTGCTGCTTTTCCTTTCTGCACAGTTTGTTTGTCAAAATAAATTCAAATCATAAATTAATTCTACTTCTTAATAGATGGTGTTATATCGACTGATTTAATGACACTTTTAAGATCAATTCTATATTATTTCGTGAGTCTAGATAAATCAAAGATTTATTAGTCCAAAGGTGTGGTAGCCCAGAAGGGCTATTAGTCTTAAATGAGCATTTTGTGGTGTTTCACTATAAATGACGAATAGCTTTTTAAATTGTTGCCACCCGATATTATTATTATATTTAAAGAAACGAAATAATGAAGAATCTGCATGAATGTATGTATGTTTCTTGCATTGTGAAAACACGATAGTGCCTATACCCATGAAATTCTGAATAACGTAATCCTCCACCCGGGTATGGACACCTGACAGCCAATTTTGGAATTTGTTTTATTACTTATTTCATATTTTTAAAACTTTAAAGAATTTCTGATTAACATACTTAACGATTTGAAAGCGAGCAATGGCAACACTGTAAGGGAAAATAAAATTTTATCTCCAGCGCGCGAGACTATGTATCGAAAATTGTAAAGGTATGCTGTTTTTAATATTTTGTGGTATTACTGTTGACCTGAATTTTATTTGGTTTAAGTGGGAAGAACATGATATTTAATAAGTAAAGTTAACACACAGAGCGTTGAAAAAACTACCCTTTGTGCGTAATATAAAATCTGAAAGCTTTCAGCTTATTTTAGATTTATCCAATGGTAAAAAAATGGATAAAAATCAGTTGAACTTCTCAATAAGGTCAATAAGAACTTGTCAATAAGGTCAATAAGGTATTTTTTCTCGAACACAATTTTGTTCATACATAAAGAATTCGGGAAGAGTTGAAAGTGTTTTAAACTGTATCAGAACCTGCTTCTTTTCTCCAATGGAGTACCTTTCCCCTCCCGCTTAAACTCTTTTCTCTAGCAATGAAAAACCTGGATAAGCTTAAGATTTAAATTAGTGAATAAGACGGGCTTCCGAATATTCATACGATAAAAATGACCCATGAAAATTTAATTGCGGTATTTTTCATTTAATTTTATTTTGCAGTTTACATTTCGCACATATTTAATAAACTTTATTTCAGAGAACAAACAGCGAATTAGAAAAGGAAAAAAAATCTTACGCTATGTTCCACGAGCACCCAGTTTAATTTACATTAATGAAACCTTCGAAGCGATATCCCATTCAATATTTTCTCTTATAATTGGATTTTTTCCAATGCATGCTATTTAATTTTCCGAAAGATAAATTTTAGTAATCATTTCATCGAATACGAGATACAAACTGCTTTATTTCTTGCTTTACGTTTAGCGATTCAGTTACAGATGCATATCCCTTGATAATAACACTTCGAAATAAATTAATTTTGTTAAGCAGATGTTTAACAGATTTAAACTATTAACAAGCATATTTCATTTATTGATACAGTAGTATTCAAATATGAATTATTATAAAACTGAATTATTTTTACGACTACTCTATACTGCATGGAATAATTTTAAGTGTAATATAATTCACAGATATGCGTAAAAATAACTCATTAGAATTAAAAATAAAAGTGGAAAGCTCTTAATAATTTTATGCCTTCCTGTTAAGTACATAACGGTTTTGAATTTATTTGTGCATCCAGTGAATATTAACACATTATACTTAGCAATGAAATATTCCTCGAATTAAACTTTTTAAAATATTATATAATTATATGTAAGATACATTCAAATTGCAATAAATTATCTTTATTAAATTAATATCTAATTGATTTCAATATGTATAAATTCCTTTTTATTAAAAATTAGAAATTCGTCATTTGATATCAAAGATTTTTCTGGAAATTCATATATAGTTATGAAAGATTTGCCTAATACCAATTTGCATATCTGGCCAATGTAATATATGTCTATATTTTATCTTTAATTTGGGCGAAATGAATTCTTTAGCGTATCTCATGTAGTGTTTCACTCATGAGCGGCCAAAAATACATAAAACAGCTAAACACTAGTAATGTCCTAGAATAAATTTCGAAGAAGGGGCATATGGTTGTATGGAGATTTCGTGATTTTTCTCATGCATAGAGTGAATAACAGCATGTTTGCATTAAAATACTTTCCATGAAGTCATCCTTACTCTTAATATTCCTGAAAGCATAATAATAATCCCTTGTGATATTTCCAGCTACATGCCATACTTCCCAACCATAAATCCTTTCCGGGAAACTTCAAATTATTTCTTCTTTTCCAAGGTTTTTTTTATAAGCTATTTCTCTGCATGCTTTCGTGGTGTAGTGGTCAGCACACTTGGAGCGTATTCGAGAGGTTCGAGTTCCGGCGAGGGCACTGCTTATTTTTTCATGACTCCTGCTTTTAAAAAATACTTAATGTCACTACAACTTCTGAAATTCAAGCTGATACTTTATCAATAATCTGAAGTCCTATTTTCATTCATATTTTATTAGAGCAAACTTAATTCATAAAAATTTAATTTGTGAATACTTCTGTATGTTATTTTTATTTTTAATGGAATAGTTTTTATTTTTTTTTCCTTATTGGTGAATACAATTCTGAGTTTTGATAGTTTAAACTAGTAAAATAATATTCGGCACTTACTTTTATTTTTAAAATGCAAAAAGAAAACGTTTTATTTGTATTTCTAAGAGTTTTTGTAATATATATGACACAGAATATTTTTTCTGTATGAATCTCTAAATTTCCGTTGAAAAACTAGCTTCAGAATTAATTACGTAGTGTTTTCACAAAATGAGGAAACGATGTAATTTTACTTTTATGAGACGTAAAGAAATCAGTGAACATCAAATGTATATCAAGGAAAATTAGTTCCAAGATTTTATGCATCTTGAAGATTCTAAGATGAATAAACATTAAGAATGACTACTTATAAGCATTTTCATGTCCAAGGAGTGACATCACGGAAAGTTTAATTCGTGTTCTTGTGCAGACACCGTGGAAGCACATTTCGATTATACGGCTCCGACAACAAATTTTAAATTCTTTGAACATAAATTGATTCTCTTCGTACTAGAAAAACGTTACTCTTGCAGATGCTTTTTATCTTACTATTCCACTTTTCTCTCTTTTCCAAGGACGTTCTGCAGAGAAAATCAAGGTAACAGAAGAAACATTCTAAAAATGTTCCTAGGAATGTTCGAAGCGTTGGTGAAAGTGTGAGTGTTCTGAGATTTTTTTCGTAAGTAGCTCAGCATTTTACATTTCAAACAGAACTTGCTGTAGAAGCATTTTCTGTAAACTTTTCAAACATATGTGAATTTGCAAACATTTCTATTATATTATAATTCATTTGTTATCAATAAATAGCGTACTTGTGAGATGCAGGGTAAATTGAAATCCACGTTTATGATATTACGAGTATTTGCCGTATTGTCTGTCTAAATAAAAATCTAAAAAATTTAATATGCTTCAAGGGCTTAATATTATAAAATCCTAATATAGCGTTTATTAATCCTAATAATTCAGTTGACTGTTTAGATACAGTGTTTAGATACAAAAACCATTGGGTCCCATAATAAAATAAAGATCGCGCAACAAGAGCAATAAAGTATTATAATCAGCGATGACAATAACAGCATCTACTACGTTGTCGCAATCATAGGTCTTTTTAAGTTTTGAAAAATAGAGTGAAATTCTTATAAGAACAAAATCGTCGTATCATTTCTAAGCAGAATATATTATCTTTAAAAGACCTAAGATAAGTTTTTAAAATAAATAAATATTCTAAGAATAAATAAATATATTTTTAAGAATAAATAAATATATTCTAAGAATAAATAAATATATTCTAAAATTCAGTTGTAAGAATAAATAAATGTATTTCAGATAGTAAGCTGTATATTTTAACCATGCAGGTTTTCGTGTCAACGTAGTTGTTTGTACTATAGGCAACGAAGTATTTTTATTTTAGTTTTTGAGGTAGGATAATAAAGAAAATAATACATTTTACGAAGCTCCTACTGCAAAAATTAAATTTGATGTTTCTGCATTCTGAAAATTGTTGTCCTTCCTCCAGTTTAAAAAACATAATAAAACAGGTTCTAAGGTATTTGGAGATCTAGATAAACCACTGAATATATTGAAATAAAACACACACAAAAAATCTGAAATGTTTCAGATTTTACATTACGTCCAAAGGGGTAACGTTTTATGTGTTACCTTTATTTATTAAATATCATGTTCTTCGCACTTATACCATAAAATTTAGTTCAATAGCAATGTCGCAAGATAATTTAAAAATGAGCATCTCTTTAGAATTTCCGATACACAGTTCGACGCGCTGATGATAAAAAAGGTTTTTTTCCCCCGTAGAGTGTTGTCATTGCTCGATTTAAATCGTTGAGTTTGTTACTCAAAAATTCGTTAAATTTTCCCAAAATACGAAATCGATCATAAAACAAATTCCAAATTTCAAATTTGGCATTTCAGATGCCCATATAAGCAGTAGGATTACATCATTCAAAATTCAATGGCTGTATGTACCGTTATTTTATCACAATGCGATAAATATGCATACATTTATGCAGATTTTTCGTTATTTAATTTCTTCAAATATAATGCAGGACACTCTAACATTTGGTGGCAACAGTTTGAAAAGTGAAACGGACATTTACAGTGAACCAACGCAAAATCGCAAAACGAAACAATAGTCCTTCAGGGACTCAAATCCCTTTGGACTAAAACAGGAAAATTATGATGGCATATTTCGTTACGGATTCTAAGTTACTGTGTAAGAAAAATCTTAAATTAACAAAATTTTAAAGCAATTTATTAAACTACATTTAAAAAAATATCTATGTTACAGCCACTTCTTACCAATATGTAGACTGCGAAAAAAAAAACGTGGGATATTTCTGTATCTCCCCGTTCTACTGGTCCGATTCACAAAATTCAAATTGCGTTTTTCATGTCTTGAAAGCGTGACTTAGGATATATATTAGATTCTTACATAGCATTATTCTAACATAAGTATTTTCGCACAAAATCGGACTTTCTTTGAAATAACATATATTTTTTTCCGTATTTCGATTCTACGACTCAAATTACTTTTTTGAGCAAATGAACTAGAATTATTTTCCCAAGTATTTGAGATTATAAATAATTTTCCTTGCATAACTAAGAATACGAATGTTTATTATCTCTAAATAAAAATAGAAATCTTCATAAAAGAATTTACCAATCTATCTACAACAGAAAACATGACATATTTCTTTGATAAGTGCACATATATTTAATTAAAGCCATTATATATTTCATTGAATAAAATCATTCTAGTAGCATAAACATTTATATTACACATTCTTCTGAAATTGACAAACGGCTTCCAGCACTTTACATTAAACTTTCGTCATACTTATTGCTGTATATGTTGACGTAATTTCAGTAACGTTATTTAACTAAATTCTTAATTGTTTCCCGTTTTATCGGAAATTTAAAATAGCTTTCGACCAAAATTCCTTGAACTTTTTTATATAAAGGAAGCCTCAGGATGCGAAACTTTTTTAAATATTAATTTTTAATTTTTATGGATGCCTTTCATAAAATAAGTATGATTAATAGTAGATTGTTGTTGTCGGTTTATGATCCATGATGAACTTATTTATAAGTTCGTAAGTCGGTTTATGATGAACTTATTTATATGAATTCATCATTGCTGATTGTATTATAGATTCACTTTTGTTAATATGCTTCCTTGCTCTCTAAATTTTTGTATGCTTTTTATTCTTTTCAAAAATATCAACACTAATGTATGTAAGCTTTTTACAAAAAGCACTTTAGGAGTATGTCTTAAATTCATGTGATTACGCCAAAGCCTCGAGGGTTATCCGCTTAAGGGGAAGGATGTCTTCATTAAGACTTTTTAAGAGAAAGTGGCTCGTATATACCTTACACATGGGAAAAAACACGAAAACGCCCATGCAGCTAGCCCGTTCGCGGTATATGAACTACCATTGTTCCGCGTCTTTACCGCTCGGCCGCGGGTGGGCCCTTTGTGTAGCATCTGTAACTTTTAATGAAAGAGGGAACGCCGCAACGGCGAATGACCTGAAACTTAAATGTGGAACGTATTTGCAAGATGAGCGTCATGGGAGCAGCGATCTGATATGAAAAACTCAGTGTAAGTCCACATGGGCTGGTTTTTCAAAATCTTATGTAGAAAACCTTCCTATTGTTTTGACAGTTAACTGTAGGAAATATCATCAGCATCGGAATGAAACTGTATACTTGTATCTATCTATCTATCTATATATATATATAAGCGGCTTAAGTGTTTGCCGCCGATAATTTATTGGTTGCTTGCGTAACTGTAAATTGTTTTATTCCTCGTGCAGTGAAGCGCGTGACGAATACTATGAGAAAGCTAAGCCGGAAAAATTAAAAATACAAGAGCACCTGCATTTAAAATCTCTATATAATAGAATTTGGAAATATGCAACTGGCAAAAACCGGCAACGATGAAAAAAACAAATAAAATGAAATAAATATGTATCTTTATTATATGCGGCTTAAGTTTCTGTCGTCGATAGTTTATTGGTTGCTTGCGTAACTATACTATCCAATGGGGAGAAGTTGCCACGTCACAGGGTTGCCGTTTCAATTGAAACGTAGACAATTTCCTGTAAAACTTACCTTTGCTATGACCATCCATAAGTCTCAGGGCCAAACGCTTAAGCGTGTTGGCATTTTTTTACCTGAGCCTGCATTTGGACACGGTCAACTTTATGTTGTCTGTTCAAGAGTTCGTGAAAGAACGGACGAAAAATTAAAAATAATGGATGGTCCTCTGCAAGGCCAGCTTAAAAATAATGGAAAGATCACACAAAAAATGTTGTGTACGAAGAGATCTTTGACATGTGAATTAACATTTTATTATTTAAATCACCTTTATTGATTGAGCTAGCAGTGGCTCTTAAGAAATGTACCGCCATTGGTTTCCTTCATTGCACTCTACTTTAAGCAATTAAGAAAATAGAAGGGGAAAACCACGGGGGTCAGCAAGCAAAGGGCCGTCCTCGGCGCCTGCCCTGGGTAATTCAGTTTTAATTAGCAGAAACATTTGCACAAATAATTTTAATTATAATTTATTATATCTAGAACAACGGTCATTTCGTATGACCGCCGGGCTTTCTAGTGTGGTATATGAAACAAACGAACTCGTAGATTAGCTTTATGTTAATCTTTTTCCTTCGTGCCTGATTCGCCACGCTACTCCCTCAGGTCAGAAGTTTATGCAAGTTTTATGCCAGGGGGGATAGTTTAATACTAGAAATTAGTGAAATTAGTCCTGGGGTATTGCTGTCTCGCTGCAAATGTCGCAGAATGCAAAATGAATGATGGAATTGGCGACGTGGAGGGGCCGCCCAGTAGGAGACCGGTGATAACGCTACACATTTTTGTGTAATGGATTCCTTGCTGAGCTGCATCCCGAGGTCAGGCACAGTATGCCTTATGAAGGATGTTGCACTAGAATAGTAGTGTGATGGAGGAAACCTATAAATCCATATGCGAAGTTCTGGAGTTCCGTCCACTTTTCCCCGTCTATGCGGATGTCGCTGTCAGAATAGGAATTTAGAACTACAGAGGGTTTGGTAAATTTCGGTAAGTGTTAGAAAATTAGCTTGTTCCAATTCCATCCCAGGTGTACTATAGATCTTAGTAATCTTTTATTGCTATAACAATGACATAGCATTAGCTTAGGAAGTAAATACTGTTGTGTGCTGACAGCTTAGGAAGTAAATACTGTTGTGTGCTGACATTTTCTCCTGCTTTTAGGTCCATTAGCCAAAAGTCGTGGCTAGCTTTTGTGTAACTTTTTCGTTGAATCTTATTTTACGTATCGATAGCTAAAACGTAACAGAGATAATAACTCTCCAACCGTTATATGTAACTTAAGATCAGCCATTAGGAATGAGGACAAGCATTCCCAGTTAGTTTACAGCGCTAGAAGAAATAACATGCCAGACTAAATAAAATGTTCTATTTTTAAGACACAATAACACGCCGAATAAATACTAATTTAGAAGTCAAACAACAAAAATCAGCGTTATATTTTCAAAATTTTCACAGGACTAGTTTCAATGGTTTTACCGAACCACCTTCCTCAGCTGCAAAACTGCAAACGAACAAGATAGGAAATAATGATTAGATAAGATAAGAAAGTGGCGCCATCTGTTGATG